TAAAAGTTTATTTCTGCACCAATTTACTTGGCCATAATGATAGATCACTAGGAGTGAAACTTGACATAAAGTGATGCTGACTTTAGTAATCATGTGAAATATATTTGGTTGTGAACAACTGTCTCAAACTTAAACAGGTGAGATTCCTACCTTGCTTAAAACCTTCCTTCGCAAGAATTTCCGCAGAAGGCCATGGACTGGTTCTCCATCCCATCTTAGCTGAACCCAGAGGAAATGTTGCTGAACCATCAAGTCAGAGCCCTGAAGCCGAGATTTTGCAATGGTCCCCATAAGGAAACAGTTCTCATGGAAGTAATATGCATATGATACTCCATTGTCTAAAATAATTTTAAAATATAAGTTTATATAGTTCTGGTATAAAGACTCACAATCCAAATATAAATCAAATAAATGAGTTAAAAAATCACTATAGGAAGGAGACAGAAAAAATGGAATCCTATTCTTTTAATGCTTCTTTTCTCTTCAACTCCTGATTACAACCAATCCAAAGGAAATAATGTATTTTATACCTTTTTTTACAGTGTAGAGGTTATCCAAGCCACGATTTTCAAGAGGTCGAAGAAACTCCCCAAGTAATTCTGATAATGAGGCTTTTTCTAAATTTTCTAAAATGATGATGATTCTGTTGCTTATTGAAGGCTGTTTTACTGGAATCAAGCAACCTGGAAATATACAGAGTTTATTGTGCCTGGCAAAAGAAAGTCCATTTCACATGTTTAGAGGGTATTCTCATTATGTTTGATGGGGGATGGAACAACCTGAATTACATGAAAACATTAAGAGCTGATACTTATTTAATGATGAATATAAAAGGGAAGGACAGATGATTGCTCTAAAGATAGCACATGAACAAAATTATATGGTTGCTCCATACACTGAAAAAGTCTGTTATTCTAATTATAATGAATTACCAGCAGGAAAAGACACATAGAGGTGTGGTGAATTCTCCAATTAAAGTGAGCAGAGGAATAAAAAACACTAGTAAGCTTGGAGTTCTTCCAGAGAATGAAGTGACAGGAGGCCAGGAATGAGAATTCCTGAAACCTTTATCTGACTGTTCCCAAGAAAATATACTCAGTCTGCTGAGATTCTTGTAAATAGGAAGGCAACAATAAAGAAGCAACCCTGATCAGCTCATGGCGATTCCTTGCATCTGACATCAGTCTGGTGAGACTGACTATATTCACTTGGCAACAGTCAGTTCTGGGGGAGGGGTCTGGCCCAGGGGTGGGATTCAGCCGGTTTGTATCGGTTCAGGCGAACTGGTAGTTGTGACTTGCTGGTGCTATGCTGTCCTATTTAGCTGTTTTTTAAGCCGCGTGCAAGCATATGTGCCAGAGGTAGGTTTCAGCAGGTTCTGACCAGTTCTGGAGAACCAGTAGTGAAAACTTTGAGTAGTTCGGAGAACCGGTAGTAAAAATTCTGACTGCCCCCGCCCCCATATATTCTCTGCCTCCAAAGTCCCGGCTGATTGGGAGGAAATGGGGATTTTGCAGTAACCTTCCCCTGGATTGGGGAGGGAATGGAGAGTTTATAGTATCCTTCCCTTGCCACGCCCACAAGCCATGCCCACCATGCCATGCTCACAGAACCGGTAGTAAAAAAAATTTGAAACCCACCACTGATGCGCACAAGCAAAGAGCATGTACAGAAGGCCGCATGCATGTGTGGAAGGCATACGTACAGAGAAACGCTCATATTTTCGGTGCTGGGGTGAACCGGTTGTTAAATTATGTGAAGTCTACCTCTGGTCTGGCCTCCATTGCTTCATTCCCTACAAGGACTCCAAGCTTTCCAGTCTTTTCACCCCTTCCCCCACTCTAGCTGGATATTCCATCACAAGGGGACTCAAAATGTTAATGTTCATATAACATTAATATACTGTATAAATAAAAAACCAAAACAATGTTTTCAACATTGTACTCTTTAAAACGGTTAACAAATTACATTTAATGAGTATCCCTAAAAAAGTACTAGTTCTAAAAGTAATAGTTCTCATTGTGCCTCTCTCTCTTTTTTTTCTAATTTTGAAATATTTTGATAAAAGCATTGCTTTATAATGTAATCGATTTCTGTTGGAAATAAGTCCCATGGTGTTGAATGGAGTGTACTTTGATATAATTACTTGTTTGCATCCATGGCCTGTCATATTCCAATTGTTGGGAAGTACCCTTGAGATGACTGGGTTTTCCAGAAGTGGCCTATTAGTATCAGGAAGAAAATGATCTGAGAAAAGTTCTGATCATAGAGAGGAGAGCCTTACAATGAATAACCCTCCCTGTCCCATATACCTCCATGGCAGAACTTTTGTCATGCTGGGGCACAACAAAGCATTTTAGAGACAAGCCATGAATCTATTGAATGTACTCTTTCCTCTACCCTGGACACATCTCAATCATTAGGAAAAAAAGCCATTCTTGGGCATAGCATACTGTAAAGAATCAATGTCCCCAATGAAACAATCCAATTTAAAAAATGCTTCTCTTATAGTTTGTCAGACTTTAGATAACTTCGAGATTTTCTGAATTAAAAAGTAGCTTTGCCAGTGAAAGCATCAATAAGCATATGGCTTAATGTCAGAAATAATTCATACCACTGTTGATGAATACTTCTGCAAGTTGCTTCTTGGATAAATCAGCATCTATCTTCACTTTGACTATATCACAGCAGAATCCTGCAGCCAGTTGCTTGTGCTATGTAAAAAATGTACAAATGTAATAAATATTGATAGTATGTTCTTTCATTTTTCCAAATGCTGTCCAGTTTTATCCTTTTACCTTTAGACACAGGGCTATCTGATAAGCCACGTAGTCTTGTAAACTTCCTTCTGGACCATGAAAGATAATATTACGATACTGTTCCACCTAGGGGAGAAACACAATAATATTGATGTATAATATGCAATTCTAAGAGGAGGTATTTTTGGCAGCTCTGTTTCAAAATTAATAGATATACAAACACAGGCACAGGCATACACACAGGCACACACAGCCACACACACATTGTTTTATGTGTCTAAATGTCTACATACATACTCAAAAGTAGAGTTTAGTTGTTTTTATTACCAGGAAAGTAAGAATATGATTCCAGCCGTTAACAAACCTCTTCCTTTCCCTTTCCTTTTGTATTGAACAATGGTGCTCTCTAAACCATCTGGTAGGTGGATTCCTTATTTTTAGCTAGCTTTCATGCTTAGACTAAATAGATGGCATTCATCTTTTGTTTTTCATGAATGTTGGTAGGAAACAGCTTCTTAATTTTTAGCAAAATAATTTTCCTGTAACATCAGAAATTGAGCACGAGACAAAATGTCAGTGTCTGTAAACAGGTCAACTCCTTTAGTTGAAGGGCCAAAGCTGATTAGATTTTAGGAGTATGTTAGGAGATTCAGCCTGATTGATGGAAGCCTAATATAATTATCTTTTACTGGGAAGCTCTAGGAACAAGGAATTTACCAGTAAAGTTTTAAGTTATCACACTCCCATGACATACCCTTACATACCCTTTCAACAGAGGTGATATTCAGCCGGTTCGGACCAGTTCACCTGAAACTATAGTGGAGATTGCGGGTGGGCCTGCCCACCAGCCCTGGTGCTGTGCCATCCTATTTAGCCATGTTCTCGAGGCCGGGCGCATGCGCGAACTGGTAGTAACAATATCTGAAACCTACCACTGCCTTTCAAGCCAATAGAAACATCACAATGGACAATGACTACAGGTACACTTAGAACTGGGACATTTTGAATTAAATTACTGAATTCTTTCCCCCTCTTTAAACTGCAGGTTCCAGTACTACTACTACAGTTGTGTTGGAAGCACTGAAAAACTTCTGGATTGAAAAGATTGAATAGTGACATCACTGCTGCCATCACTTCACATCCCTATTAAGTTGCTCACCTAAGTTGTAGCAATTTATTTACTTGCAGTTGCTCACTTTTGAACTGCTGGGTTGGCAGGAGTTGGAGTGTGTAACAGGAGCTCACCCTGTCCCGTGGTAGCAACCAGGTCTCAAATGCGAGCCTGCCGATCATCAGCCCAGCACCCTAACCTCGTGAGCCACTGCGCTCCCTGCAGGATCCAGAATTCCTGCTTTATAGATGTCATGAGTATTATGATTTCATATTCTGTGGCAGAACATGGGGACAGCTGGTATATGTGGGTTCCTAACTAAAGTACCTTGTTAGAAAAAGACTGCCTCAAATCTTGATCTGATACAGCACAGTTTTCCTAATACTCTTAGAGCAGTGTTGGGGAATCTGTGATTCACGAGATGTAGCTAATCTAAACTTCAATTGTACCTGAATTTAGATCATGCTAGATCACCAGTCTTGGTGATCTTAGGGATAGGTTAATGTTTTGATTCATACATAGGAAACAAGCAATTTAGAGTATGTTCATCAAAGTCAAAATATCCAGGAAAAAGCTTCTGCTTCTCCTGAATGGCTCTTTTCACAATTTATTCTAAGCAATGAAATAAACTGATTGATTGACTGATTATGTCCCATTAACTCCTAGTGACCACATATATAGATTTTCTCCAAGAAAATTGAATGGAACCAGGGAAGAAAATAAAATTTTCATAACCAAAGGGAGAGAAGTAGACACAACCTACTAATGTCACATATTCCAGTCAGTTATTCAAACAGTTAAAGCTAAATATAATTTTGCCATTACTTCTTGTCACAAACAACCTGCTTCTTAATGCTATAAATCAGGAATGGGCAACTATGGTCCTTTATGAGCTGTGGACTTCAACTTTAGAATTCTTGAGCCTTCTGGCTCAGGAATTCTGGGTGTTGAAGTCCACAGGTCATAAAGAAACCATAGTTACCCATCCCTGCCATAAATGATACTCCAGAGGAAGAAATTAGTTTGTTTCAGTGGCCAAACTCCTGATTCTCTTTTTCTCATTTATGTCAGGGAGTCCTGACAGAAGTAGATATCAATAGACCTTTTTTCAAATGCTAGGTAGGAAATAAGAATATTTTAGAGGATTTTATTTCACCATATTTATAGAAGTGGTGACTCAGAAAGAAATACAGTATACTATTGTTAGGAAGAATTAAGCATCTCCATACCAGCCTGAGGTAATTCTGTAATGTTTGAAGATGGATCATAGATGCATAAGTCACACTGTGCAGGCATCCTTCTTGGGGACCTATAGGATAAAGAATAATGAGTACAATTTCAAGGTTAGGAGGGGCTATGTATTAAATTACACACTACTGTAAATACATAGCATTCGCCTACACGCCTATAGTTTTTATTAAATTAATCCAAACTGCCTTGAAAAATCTTCTCTGTGAGTTATTCTGGCTATATTGGATGACAAACAAGAAAATTCTATGCATGCTTTAGGCAGCATTCTAGAAAATTCAAACCTCTTTAGATACGTTACACCTTTAAAATAATTATAATATCTGTAATGAAGGACAGAACTGTTGTTTCAAGATGGTGAGCCAGAGAATGGAAAGGCCACCAGGATGATGATGGTGGGAATAAAACCTTCCTATTGCATATTTTTTATTTATATGAAAGAGAAATATAAAACTGAAGCTCAAAACCAATTATTGCAAATAATTTGTATATGATATGCATATTATGTGTATTAAGATAAGAAGGAATTATCTAGAAAGATGTTTAAAAATTAGCTGTTCTAACTGAACTTCACATTTTTAATTGTGAACATATTCTAGGAAGGTTATTGGACTTTAAAAATTAAAAAGAATATATTGAAGATGAATAATCCTATAACTTTTCATTAAAATGTGTATGTGATATTTGATGCCAGACAGAAATAAATTAATTTACCAAGTAAAGATATGATGATGTGTTCCACCTCATTGCTTTTCAAAAATTCCCAAGGTGGCTGCGGAAAAGTCTGACCTACTGACCATGAAATATTACCTGTGAAAGAAAAGAAAAGAAAAGAAAGAAAGAAAGAAAGAAAGAAAGAAAGAAAGAAAGAAGTTCAGAGGCATACCCAGAGCACATAATAATTCTATTATGATGCAATTTATATAATACATCACACACTTTTATATTTACCACAGTGATTACAATACAACTAATGTGGAAGATTAAACAGTCCCTTATTTTCCCCATCATATTTGAAATTGGAATAAAGTTCAAGTAAAAATGCTAGTTTCTACCCTGCTTTTTATTGTAACTATTATTAATTTATAATTTGGCATTCATATTTTTTATTATGCAAAGATTAATGCAGACTAAAGAAAATTACAGGAGACAATACATATAAATTTATTTGGCATATTATTCTACAGACCACATGAGCTGTATAAATTCCACATGCTTTATCAGTGATGACTCCTACAATAATAATTAAATTGGACTGTAATTTGTGATATGTATAATACTTTGTTCCAAATTTGCTTTAACAGAAGAATGATAGTTGAGAAAGAATTTAGGTCCCTTAAGTGCAGATATTGGTAGCTAATCAAATTGAAACCTGTTCTGCTTTTTAGATGAAAACCTTTACATTCACTCCTATACCTTTCTATAAACAATGTTGACAGAAGGGACGTACCTCATTTGATGCAGAGTGTTTGAGGCTATTTATTTAGTTATATCACAAAGGTATAATTTTGATTTTTGGAGTAAAAGATAAGTAAAAGAACTTCACTGTCCTTTCCAATCCGCCAGCAGTCTGCGCGGATTGTGGCTGATCCCGACGATGAGGAGGCTGGTGTGGTGTCGCGTCAGCAGACTGTGCAGCTGGCGCTCGAGTCGGACAGCGAGGAGGCTGAAGAGGATGATGTACTGGAGGCAGAGACTCAGCCAGGGCCTTCAGAACCTCCAGAGGCTCCTTCAAGTGAAGAGAGTGATGTGGAGGAGCCTCTTCTCAATGCTCGAGCACGCAGGGCTGCCAAAAGGCAGGAGTGGCTACTCAGGAGGAGGTCTCCTCAAGAGTAAGGCTTGGGGTTCATTGGCCATTCCCTTAGCCTATTTAAATTCACACACAGATAGCAAATGTTGCTGGAAACAACAGTTTGGTCCTACGCAGAGCAATTTGAGAGTGAGTTTTTTGGTTTCTGGGCTGATTGTCAACCCTTGTCGGACTTTGTTTAATCTCTGTAATTCATAGCAGGCTGATATGGACATTTGTGATTAAAGCCTGCATTTTGAAAGGGGTCTGTTTGTATTAAATGGAGTTTTTGGAGCTGTGTGTGTGTGCTACACTTCTTGGGACCCATAGTTGGGGCAGAACAATATGTAATTCAAAGCCAAGGTATCACTTCTATTACTTCAAGAAAAGTTTTAGACTTGTGCACTCCTGTCAACTCTTTCTCCTTCACTGAGGAAAAGAAATAGAGCCAGCTTGGTCTATGGTTAAGGCACCAGGCTACAAAGCTGGAGACCTTGAGTTCTAGTCCTGCCTTCACGATGAAAGTCAACTGGGTGACTTTGGGCCATTCACTCTCTCTCAGCCCAATCCATCTCTCAGAATTGTTGTTGTGGAGAAAATAAGAGGAGGAAGGTGTGTTGGGTGTATTGGTCATTTTGATTGTTAGGAAAATAATAAAGATGGAATAAAAACAAACAAAATAAACTATGACTCCATTCCAATTCCTAATTTTTTCTGATATGCTCACTGGGAATCATGGTTTAACACAGATTCAAATCAATTCCCAAGTAAACCAATAATCCTGGGGGGAGGGGAGAGGATGAATTATCACACACCAGAGTACATACATTATATTAAAATGTGGTGCACTGAATAAGTCACAGTTGGTTTCATATATCACACTAAAACATGAATCATGCTGGGTTAATACAAGACAGTAAGTTTTTTAAAAAAGCCAAATATCAACATTATATGTGATGTTATAGTGTAGGTTTATTATCACTCAGATGCAGGAAATAATAGATAAGGCCAAGTTTTCCTTGAGTTCTCTGATGAGTGTTAAATCTGAAGTCAGTCTTTATATTCTACCAGCTTCTTGTAACTGGCTTAACTTTACCCAAGGTACTTTTTAACATGTGAAAGATCTGTGAAACACCAGTGCTTACCCAGTTTGATGGATAATATACTGCTCACAGTGAGGCCGATGCTGAATTCTGTGGTCTTATTAGGTGTCAAGTCTTCCAGGCTTCTCCATTCATCAGAGGCGATTGCTTGGAAATGGTTTGTCACTGCCTGAGTCACGGCTTTGGAAAAATCATCCCAGGTTGTCTGTTTTCGTATATTTAACATCCATATAATATTTTCCATATCAAGATCATCCGTACCATAGCAAGTTTGATCAATCTGAGTTGCAGCAATCCGTAAAGGAATTTTAAAAGCATCTGTTTAGGTAGAATTAGAAAACTGAACAAGTGTGCAACAGAGGCATAGCATTTACAAGTACATTTTCAAATGCTTTGCATTCCTGGATCCAAGAGCTAATTCTACAGATACATTAAAATATGACTCCAAGAGAAACAATGATTTTTCAAATAAAAAATATTTCACTTTATAGCAAAAACTTACTCAACAGTGGTCTCAGATCTAGCTCCATAATCTCTGATTATTGTATGACCCTTTTCTTTCGTTAGATGAATATCAAATATATCTAAAATGTCTCAGGGCATAATAGTATGGTAGACATTTGCATCACACAGTTTAAAAACATTATGGCTGGATAAATCACCTGAAAGTTTTATTTAAAATTTGACAAAAAGGTGAAATATTACAAACTTATATTTTCATTTCATGCTTTGTGTGCTGTTTGAATCAGAAATGAAAAGAGTGTGGAGTATCCTCACAGCCATGATGGAGGAAAATATTTTAATACATTGCAATACTTCAACTTTACACACTTCGATGATAAGGCCCAAAAGTGTTGCTGCCCACAAATAATGTAATGGGGTGGGGGACATTTTTTCAGGGCAGTGATTGGTTGATTGGTAGATTCTTGCTGTCCTTTTCCTTCTTATCTAGCCTCACCCATTGTGGAAAACTTCAGGAATGTAGGTTAAAATGGGAAATTGAAAAAAATATCCATGAAGGACAATAGCTACAATATGTACAAAACTGCATTGATATGTTAATAGAAATCAAGCTCAGTTCAAGAGAGAGTTTATCTTTTAAAGTATCTACTTACTTTTTTTTTTATTGAAAAAGTTTTTTCAAGTATCTACTTACTTTTAATCAGCTCTTTCCACCTTTGTTCATATTACTTGTATTTTAGTTGGTTTTTATCTTTGTACAAAAGAAAAACCAGGAAGGCCATTGCTTTCCCTATTTTAAATTTCAAGAATATCCTACCATATTATTATGATTCTAACCAAATCATAAATTCTACATCTTGTGAAGGCTCTTGCTCTAATAATAATTTACCCTACTGTTTATCAGCTTTCCCTAATCTGGCATCCTTCAAATATATTGGGATTACAAATCCTACAATCCCCAGAGAGCACATCTTTACTAGTGTTTACAGTAATTGCCATCCAATTTATATAAACAAGTCTTCTAATTGAGAAATGCTGGCCTAACAACTAAGAACCAATACAAAAAAAGTAGAAGAAGAATTTTTTAAAATCCCAAACTAAAAATATGTATACTTAGAATACTTCTTATTGAAATATATATGCATTTCTACCGATCATTTCTTAATAAAATACCCTATATGGCAGCATGTATATGTGCCTGTGCCTATGTGTGTGTGTGTGTGTGTGTGTGTGCGCACACACTCACACACACACTTCAGCTCTAAAGAGAACAAAAAGGGAAATTTATTGGAATCATTAGATTATCTTTTCTCCCAACACACTCCTGCCAATTTTTGCTAGTCCATGAAGTGGGATGGCATTCCAAATGTGTATGGTTAGGAAAGAAAGTTGCAACAGATGGCAAAAGTAAATACCTTAAAATTATTTTCTTCAGCACAGCCTGTATTTTTTTTCCTGCTTTAGTAGGGAAAATCTACTTTATTCCTTTATTTGAAATGCTGATTGTGGTTTGCTACAATAGATGCTCGGGCAAAAGCTTGAAGATACTTTGCTGCTGCATAAGCCAATTTCTCAATTGATGTAAAAAGGCTCAAAACATAATTAACCCTCCCATTCAAAGTTCCATGTGAGAGTGACTTGGGAAAAAATCCATTCCCTGCTAATTTAGGTGTCTAGATATGCTACTTCAGACTGCTCAATTTTTAAATGGGACAGAGGGGTTAACACTGAAGCTGTGCCAAATCACAATGCTCACAAGGATGACTGCAAGAAGAGCATATATGGTGAATTTTCTCTGACTCGTTTCCAAAGTCCAAATTCCAGATAATAGAAAAACAGTACCCATGGGAAAGAAGAACTACCAGTCTTTTCAAAGGACACATCTCACATTTGTATTTGAGTAACATGATTATAAACTGGCAAGAAGCCATGAGCAATGCAATAGAGAATAGTCTCAATGGAAAACCCTGAACAACTATAAAACTGGTCTGCAAAATTGAAATAATGATATCCTCTAACTGAATTAACTTGAAAAAATACAAATTTGGCAAGAAATAATAAGAGCAATTTATACAACTTTTCTTTAATGTCAATGGGACATAAAATAATGTAAGTGATTAGTGCTAAAATTATTAAATGTCATGAATAATCAACAGCGCTCTAATGTGCCTTCAATCTGTACTATGTATGGCTAAAAATTATGGCAAGTCTAAAAATCTCTGACAAAGATGACTGAAGAGAATGAGTGAAAACACCATAAAAAGAATTACATGGTGAATGTCTGAAATGTAACAGCATATTATACCTTCTATTTACAAAACCTACCCTTATTTTAAAAACATTTTAGGCCATCTCTATAGAGAGATAGAGAAGTTTACATCCTGTTTTCCTCAAGGAGCTTCAAATGGCATAGAGGCCTTTACCTTTTCAACTTTTCTCATAAAACAATTCTGTAAAGTAGGTTGGACTGATAAACAGAAACTGGCACAGCTTCTTTCCTTGGTCGCTTTCACATGATGTGAACAACCCAGGCTGTTCCAACATTCCTCTCGAAGACTGACTTCTCTCGCCTCACCTCTTTTCTTTTTTCTCTTGCCAGAGCAAGTCCAAACAAAAGCATCAGTGGTGCTATGATAACAGTTATCACCATCATGGAGAGCCTGTATCTTATCTATTTTCATAGTCTCATT